TCACCGCTGTCGGTACCATAAGCCTTCAAATCCATTTTGTTGTTCTATTCCATGCCCTCAATGTGTTTTGATATATTTTTTGAGGCGAATGAACGCAAATTTTCAAGATATCGTAAATACTATTTTAAAAAGGCGTATTTCACATTGTCGCTGAAATATAAAAAACCACAACTAGCTAAATTTTGTATTGCCTAAAACGATGTGGGGACTTATGATTCGATGAAATGCATCATAATCAAAGTGAATTTTGGATTTTTAGGTAGTTAAGCTCTTTCCATACTATACTAACGATATATTGCATGCCAAGTCCCACTCCTCAATAAATATAAATTGGATTAATTCTTATTTAATTTGTGAACTTGGCTGTCAACTTATTTAGTACATACCATTTCATCTTTATTTCGATGCGTGCTATGTTTGACAATTTACACAAAATTAAAATAAATGTTTTTGTTTCTGAGCTGAAAGACTAATAAACGGAAAAAATTCTAAAAAATCAAGTGCAAGTCCTACGTACTTCAAACTTGCACTTTATTAGGCTAAAATTAAATGGGCAGCAAAACTGCATACCCGAAAATGTAAAATTCTATATAAATACTTTAAAAGCTTTAAAATTTTTATTAAGGTGGGTTCTGTTATAGGTTGAATTATATTTCAAATTAAAATTATTAACAGTAGAATATTTGTTAACAATTATCAACATTTTTAACTAGAATATTTATTTAGAACTTTACATTCTCGGGTATGCAGTTTTGTAGCGCATTCAATTTTATTCTAATAAAATGCAAACAATATCATTCGGAATTTCGGTGCTAATTATTTGATTGCATATGTATATATAGCAACAAGTAATTTTTATGAAAAAAACAAAACCGACTTCATTTCTCATATAAAAATTTAAGATTATCGTTAATTTTTCCATGATCCAATGATCGGATTTAAATCAAATTAGTATGGGACCGCCTGTGAGGTAACGCCTTTCCTTNAAGATATCGTAAATACTATTTTAAAAAGGCGTATTTCACATTGTCGCTGAAATATAAAAAACCACAACTAGCTAAATTTTGTATTGCCTAAAACGATGTGGGGACTTATGATTCGATGAAATGCATCATAATCAAAGTGAATTTTGGATTTTTAGGTAGTTAAGCTCTTTCCATACTATACTAACGATATATTGCATGCCAAGTCCCACTCCTCAATAAATATAAATTGGATTAATTCTTATTTAATTTGTGAACTTGGCTGTCAACTTATTTAGTACATACCATTTCATCTTTATTTCGATGCGTGCTATGTTTGACAATTTACACAAAATTAAAATAAATGTTTTTGTTTCTGAGCTGAAAGACTAATAAACGGAAAAAATTCTAAAAAATCAAGTGCAAGTCCTACGTACTTCAAACTTGCACTTTATTAGGCTAAAATTAAATGGGCAGCAAAACTGCATACCCGAAAATGTAAAATTCTATATAAATACTTTAAAAGCTTTAAAATTTTTATTAAGGTGGGTTCTGTTATAGGTTGAATTATATTTCAAATTAAAATTATTAACAGTAGAATATTTGTTAACAATTATCAACATTTTTAACTAGAATATTTATTTAGAACTTTACATTCTCGGGTATGCAGTTTTGTAGCGCATTCAATTTTATTCTAATAAAATGCAAACAATATCATTCGGAATTTCGGTGCTAATTATTTGATTGCATATGTATATATAGCAACAAGTAATTTTTATGAAAAAAACAAAACCGACTTCATTTCTCATATAAAAATTTAAGATTATCGTTAATTTTTCCATGATCCAATGATCGGATTTAAATCAAATTAGTATGGGACCGCCTGTGAGGTAACGCCTTTCCTTTAAAAAGAATTATAGAAATCGGTTAACGTGGTCCAAAGTTATGCGGTAACATACATAAAAAAAAAATAAATAAATACCCCGGTGAACTGGTAACCTTCTCCTTTTTGTGAAGTCGGTTAAAAATAATGAAAAAACCGAGCAAGCATAAACCGAAGATGACACATAAAATTAAAATGAATAGCAGTGGTGTACATTACAAAATGTTATTTATGTGGAAATATAATAGACAACGCCAATGATAACGCTTTACATGCGTAAGTATTCCCTTTGAAATTGCCTGCTAACATTCTGTATCAAATAATTTATACAATATATGTAGTTTTCCAAGAGACGAAAACTTTCGGGATATATGCAGGAACGCCTGCGGCTTAATGTCCAACGATATTGTGAGGAAGGCTGCGAAAAACAATGAGCTTGGTAGAAAATATTTAAAAAATGTTAGTCCTTCAGTGCATGTTGTCACTACAAGTCATTGTTGTCAACTTAGTGCTTTTCGCACTAAATTTAGTGTTTATCTTTATTCTAAAAGCGAAAATTTTAGAGTTTGTTGCTCAGTGTGTTTTTTGTGCTTTTTTTTAGTTTGAAGACACCAAAACTGTAAATCTGAAACAAAAATGGAAGTCAAATTTAGAGCAGTTGAAAGTTTCGTAAGGAACTTTATAAAAATGGAAACAAACTCATGGCCCAACTACAATTACAAGCGAGAGAGCATATGTTTGTCAAAAAAATATGTGACAACAGTTTCAATCATGCCAGAATTACATACGGTTATTGCCTGCAAACACGTACATGTTGCTGGGACCAGGAATCGATCTTTAGAACTTTAGTTTGAGCTGAATTTGTTATATTTTTTACGAATATTTAAAACAGAACACAACAGCATAGCATCTCCTAACTAGTGTTGCCAGACTTTTTTCCAGCCATGCGGGCAAAACGCATAATTTGTCCCAAAAATACGGATTTACAAAAATTTAACAAGACATATGAGAAATAAAGGAATTGCTCTACCAACTACGAACCATATATTAAGTAATGTTCAAATTAGTTATAAGCTCATGATAAATTTCGTTTATTTCATGACAACACTTTTTAATTTATACAAAAATATGTATGTTAATTGGCAAAACCATAAAAAAAAAATTAAGAGATACAGTTGCGGTCAAAATAGTAGCAGAAAAATTCAAAACGATGCTGTTGGCAACTTATCTTTTTGTTTGTTATTAATAATTTTCATTTAAAATGTGGGTCGATCTATATCAGATACCACATAAATAAAAGTTTCAAGGCTTGCACAAAGTTCACAAAAACTAATTAAACTTAAAAAAAATTTCATCAAAATTTCTATTTTTTAAATAGATTTCGAGTATGTAGTTTTATAGCGCAGTTTTAGTATAACAAAGTGCAAGTTTCAAGTCGATTAAAATTTCCATTGATTTTTTAGATTTTTTTGTGGTGGGTGTTGGGCATTTTCTTCCACATAAAAGTCAGTTTTTTTCATGCGTTTTATGGAAGAAAATTAGCAACACCCTCCACAAACAAAAATCTAAAAAATCAATGGTAATTTAAAGCTATATTTCTCTTACAGAGTTGCATGCAATAATGCTTGCTAACGACCTACTCACAATAGCCGCGTTAAAGCCTGAACATGTTGAGTACAAGTTAACAGGTTGAAATGAATAATAAAATTGTGGAAAATTCGGGAAAAATCTTGTCCCGGCGGAACATTTCAAATTTAATGCAAAATACACGGACGTCCCGGCAAATACCGGACATTTGGCCCCGCTACGCCTAACAGTAAAATAAATAACGAACCTTTTTAAAAAGGAATGATTAAGTAGGCAGCTTTTTTTTCACAAAAAATGTTTTCCAATATGCGCAACTTCATTTTTTGTTTTTACTTTCGTTTAATAGAAATTGTAGAAAAGATTAACCAAAACGAAGAAAAATTAATATTTAAACAGCGCAAATCTAAGGGAAACGGCAACGCTGGACACAGCTGTAAATTAGAAAATAAGAACAAATAAATAAAATAAAAACTTTTTAATATACGACGCTTTTATAACGGGAAAAAATTATATATATATAAAAATTATAAAATAATATATCTCAGTCCCATAGAATTTGTTTTGATAACTTTTGATTTTAAAATTTTAGCAGAAGTCATTATAAACAATTTGAGATTGAAAACGTAAAACTTGAAGCGCATGCAGGGGTTCAAGCCCTGGTCAAAGCAACATCGCAAAAAATATAGAAAAAGGTTTTTTCTTAACAGCGGTCGTCCCTCGGCTGGCAATAGGAAACCTCCGAGTATATTTCTGCCATGAAAAACAGCTTCTCATAAAAATACAATCGCCGTTCGGAGTCGGCGTAAAACTGTAGGTTCCTACGCTTTGTGTGACAACATCAAGGCGCACGCCACAAGTCGGAGGAGAAGCTCGGCCAAACACTAACATATGTGTAAGCTCCAATCTATTATTACCCGACTTCCAAAAAAGGAGGAGGTTATCAGTTCGTCGGAATATTTATTTTTTTTTTTTTTTTTTCATGTATGTTACCGCATAACTTTGGACCACGTCAACCGATTTCGATAATTCTTTTTGCATCGGAAAGGTAGTGTCTCATAGGTGGTCGCGTACTAATCTGGTTGAGATCCGATCAGTGGATCATGAGATATATATATATATATATTTTTTTTTTTTTATATGGGAGTGGAAGTCGGTTTTTTTTTGCTAAAAATTACTTGTTATTATTATTATTACTATTTAACTTCTTCTGGCGGGGCGACATCTACCTCTAGAGTTTGTATGTCTTTGATATGATACCTACGACGAGGTTGACATCTAGACTAGGTTTGCCATAAATACCTTTGCTATATTTATAGTATAAATGTTGGTCTGGACCAGTGATTCCCAAAGTGGTCCACGTGGACCCCCAGGGGTCCACAGGAGACTTGACGGGGGTCTACGTTGGCGTGAAAAAAATATGGTGGTCCATGAGTTGTAAGTGGGGGTCCACGAAAATGCATTTCGTTTCGATAATAAAGAACCAAAATGGTTGCTTATCTATGGCATATTTATTTAACTTTAATTTATTTGAGTGGTGTATAGTGCTCTTGACGCACTGGTGAACTTACCCTCACTTTGTGTCATCATACGTGGAGAAGCCTTAAAGGCCATCTGTAGAATAAAAAGAAACGGATGTTGGTATAACACTGATTGAGGCGATGCGGAAATTGCCGGCGGCAGATATTTCAGCACTTGCGTCTTTTCAATGCTACAGGATAGTACGCCACCATTACCTTTGTTGAAGAGATTCTAGAGAGGGTTCCCTGAGGGGAATTCTGGTTTAATTCCAGCACTGAGCCCACGTACCTTGTCGAATCGTACATTGTCGAATATTCACTGATGGCTCCAAAACTGACTCAGGGTCAGGATCTGGAGTATTTTTCGAAGTTAATGGGGATAAGTTTCACATTTTCTTTTAGGGAAGATGCTTCTGTCTTCCAAGCTGAGGTATTTGCAATCTCCAAGCCATAGACTACGTGGTGGAAAATAGGTGGGGTTAAAGGAGTTTACGTGTCTACTGGTACAACCAAGCTGCACCTAATGCATTGGCCAGCCCTTTTTCTAAGTCTTTCCAAACTAGTTCGGCAATGCATGTCCGACTAAATTATGTTGTTAAACATAACGAGGTTGCTTTACTCTGGGTCACTCGGGAGTGCCTGGAAATGAGACATTTGACCTTTTGGCCAGAGTTGGCTTAGACCAGGCATTCCTCGATCCGCAACCAGCACTCCCCACTTCGACCATCGAAGCAACCACCAGAAACTGCGTGGCTACTTCGCTCAGCAATGACTGGGAGCCATCGAGTGGATGCAGGTGGGCAAACTCATGTTGCCTTCAATCTCAGAAGGGCTGTCTAGTTTTTTCCTTTCACTGAGAAGATGGGACTGCTGACTGGTCCCTTCACGTGGCACAAACACCTGACTGTGATAGGCGTAAATTGCAACTCCATTTGCCCATTCTGCTTTGAATAGGATGAGACGGTGGAACACTTCTAGAGCTTCTTGCTTGCTTGTTTGTTTACCATCGGTTTATCTAGATGCCGTCTCTTTTTTGTTTCTGAATTTGAAGTATGGCATAAAAAGCTTTGCGGTTTTGTTTTTTAAAATTTTATGTTTTAAATATGCGAGTGACGAATATTTTTCGCATCACTTTAAAAATCCGAGCGAAACAATTAAATATGCCATCAACACAAATGAACTATTTGACAAATACATCACATGCAAATTCATGAGTGAGCCGACCCTGTGAGGAGTTTTGTAACGAAGCGTTTTCCTGTGAAGGCCCCGACGCTTCTGTTTTCTATGCTGAGGTATACTCGCCGTGCCCAGGGTCCGTTACAATATATTTATATTGTGTGGCCTTTGCAAATAGTACTTTATTTAATTACTAAAAACGTGTTACTACTTAATTTCTATGAACATAATACGATTAACGGTGTATGAATTCCTAACGGTGAATTCCCAGCGCGCTGCTGCTGGGTCACGTCGACGCTACTCTGTCGGCGTTCTGCTGCTGTGCGACGTCGGCGCTACTGTGTCGGCGCTCTTGTGTCGGCGTTCTGCTTCTGCGTCACCGTTGCGCGGGCTTGCGCACGCTATTGCTTGCGACGCTATTCTGTCGGCGCTCTGCTGATGGACGGCGTCGGTGCCCCTATGCCGGCGCGTCGGCGCTACTGTGGCGGCGCTCTGCTACTGTGCGACGTCGACGCTCTGCTACGATACGACGTTGGTGCGACGATTGGTGCGCGCTACTGATGGACGGCGTCGGTGCCACTATGGCGGCGCTCTACTGCTGTGCGGCGTCGGCGCGACGATGGTAGCGCGCTGCTGCTGTGCGACGTCGCCGCTACTATGTCGGCGCTCTGCTGCGTTGCGAGCGGGCGTCGCCGTTACGCGTGTTCGCGGTGGACTGTGGCGTGGCGGTGCTCTACCTTTGAACAGCCAAGCCCTGTATAGTCGCCTATGTACAAGTCAGGCTCTATTCATTAGTAGCTGTGCGTTCACGACCACGGCTCCGCTAACGACGCTTAGATTTTGGGCGACGTCGGTGTGCTCCTCTGGGCGACGTCGGCGCGGGGCTGGTAGGCGAACTGGCGTCGCCGTCGCGCGGCTTCACGGTTGACTGTGGGGTGGCGGCGCTCTGCCTTTGAACAGCCAGGCCTTGTATAGTCGCCCATGTACAAGTCGAGAGCTATTCTCTAGTAGCTGTGCGTTCACGACCACAGCTCGTGCTGACTGCCTTGTGTGTTGCCAAGTCACATCTCTTATAGCTGGTGCTCTTCGTGTTGCTGGGTCGTATGGCTACATGTTGCGTTGCTATGGTGACGGTGTCACCAGGGAGGGTTGATACGGTCTCTTATGTTGGCTGGCCGTGTTGATGACGCTGCTGTAGTTGTTTTTGTTGCTGTTGTAGTCATTGTTGCTGGTGTAGGGGGACGGCGTTCGTGTGGGCTAAATTCCGAGGATATTTAGTCCTCACACTGCCCCCCTCTTCGGCGGGCTTAAGTTTTGCGGTGCCTCGGTATTATACGAGCGCCCCACCGGTATACGTTGACTCAGTATTCTCCCGACCGGAACCTCACCCGGGACGCGCAGATTCCCTTTGCGATGTCCCGAACAGTCCTCCGGACCCTCTCGGCGACCTCCGGGAACTGGTCCAGCGCTGGTCCGTCGGCTTCTTCGGCGGGAATGACCGTTTGTTCCCTTGGTGGTGTCGACGAGCCTTGTCGTGGTGACCTGTTTCGGACGGAGCTGGTGCTCGGGGCGGTGACGGTGACAGTTGTACTACCTCTGGGGATACTGGTGTGTGTGGCAGTGGAGGTAGTGTTGCTGTTGCCTCTGGAGGCTCCGTGGGCCGTGGTGGTGGCGGTGGTGGTGGCGGAGGTGGTGGCGGTGGAGCTAGTGGTGTTGTTGCCTCCGGTGGTTGCCGGAATACCCTCAGCATTTGCGCGCGTTTTTGCGCCGCCATGGCCGCCGTGAACGGGCCGGATATGTACCCCGGCCCTCCTTCTCCGCGTCCTACGTATCTCAGCACCCTCTCGATAGTTTCCACCACGTAGATCCCGCAGTCGCTATCGTTGGTCTGTTGTGGTACCTCTAGATGTACCTCCCGTATGTGGGGGCCTCCCGCTGATGTCGCTGCTGGTATTCCCACCAGAGAAACTCTTGCCATTCCTGTACCGCGTGTGTCCCCCTTCTCACTTTCCTGGAGTCGGCCACCCAAATGTAGTGTAGAGCAGGTACCAATGGTTCGAGACATTGTGTGGCGCGAGGACAACCCGTTGGCCGAAAAGGTCGGTGTGGCGTAGCCACCGGTGGATGCGCTGATAATTCTCTCCCTGGTCGGGTTTGCTTAACTGCCACACAACAAATGGGCTGAGTACGGTACCTCGTATGTTGAACGTGGCTTCCAGGCCCTTCGCCCAGGCATCGATGACTGTGTCTGTCAACCAATAGGGTCCTGTCAGTGTCCACAGGTCGGCCTCATACAGCGCTCTCTCGCCGGGTCCTGGTAGGAAAATAACCCGCGGGCCCACCGACGTCTGCTGTGGCGGCTCCTCGTCCGAGGATAGCTCGATGTCGAGCTGTTCGGCCAACCCCATGTCGGTGTCCTGGTTAGCCAGTCTGTCGCTAGCTGGACTCTCGCCTGTTGGGCTATCGGTGGTTGGGCTGGTGTCCGATGGAGTGGTGTGCGATGCGCTGTCGCTCGTCGAGCTGTCGCTTGTTATACTTTCGGTGGGCGTGCTAATAGTGGACGTGGTTTTGTCCGTGTCCATTCCGCTCCCGTGCCTGGTGTCGTGATTAGAAGTTACCCTCCTCACAGAGAAGGCGGTTGCCCCGGCGGTGTTGTATCTGTCGTCTCCTGAAGGGCTGACGGTCGGGAAAGCGGCTAGTGAGCGCCCACCAATTTTGTGGGCAGCACGCGCTGCGTTGGTGAACGCCGCTGTAGCGTGTACGGCGGTTGTGCGCGCGGCGAGGGTCCGTCGTGTAGTTGTTTGGGCTGCGACGGCGCGTGCTGCTGTAGCCTGTGCGGTGTCGGCATTTTCAGCGTGGGTGTCCGTCGTCACGCTGGCTGTGGCCGCGTACCTTGCGGCTGCGTGAACCGCGATCGCGTGTACCGACAGAGCACGAGTCGTTTCCGCGTGGATGGCGGCGGCGTGTATGCTGGCAGCGCGTGCGACGGCGGTCTGTCTAGCGGCTAGCTGGGTCGCCATTGCTTGCTGCTGGCTGCGCGTCTGTCCAGTAGTGTGCGTGAGTGCCGCGTACACCGCGGCGGCATCGGCGGCTTCGGCGCGTGCGGGGGCAGCATCCCGTGGGCCTATCGTCGGCCCCACGCCCAGCATCAGGGTCCGCGGTCGCTTCGCGTTTTCCTCGGCTACGCGTTCGCGTAAGCGCTTCACACTCTCCTCCATTTTGCTTTCCATGTTCATCGTTGATTGATTTTCACCTTTATTAAAATTCTTTCGTTTCTCCACGTGTGGCTGGCTCGCTAGTTGACGATCGAATGACGGTCTCCACTGATGCGATGGTAGCTCATCGATTTCCGCGTCGATGACAGATTGCCTTGCAGGGTTGCGCGGGAAGTACCTCTGTTTGTTGGGGCGTTCATCAGTCATGGTAATCCGGTGCTCTCCCACTGTGGTTACTCAGCTCATAGTCTCGAATTTTTGCAGTTCTTCGGCTAGAAAGTCGCGTATGCGGGCTGCCTCATCTTCGTGGTTGGGGTCCTCGTGTTCTATTCTATCGACCCTCTCCTTTGCGAACCGTCGTCTTGTACGGCGCCTCCATTTTCTGCTCCTTGGTGGGCGATGGTTCGTCATGACGGGTGGTTCGGGGTCCTCGGTGCTTGGTGTTGGCTCGCTTGGTGTCGTCGGTGTGGGTTGTATAGGTGGCTCCGTCAATACGATGCGGTGCCCGCCGCAGGACACCGTAGCTCCCATTACCCCTAGTGTGTCCAGGTCCAAAATGATGTCGCCAGTTGCTCCAGGCATGACATGCAGAACGGCGTTGTGGATCGTCTGCTCAAGGCGGACTACGGTCCTCACGGCCTCGGATATTTGGTTCCTGGTGCCATCGGCCATAAGGATTCCTATGGCCACAGTTATCTTTTTGCCTCTCCCCCAGCTAACCAATTGCTCCACCGCGCTGGTGGACACGAAACTTCTCGAGGCACCTGTGTCGATGACGGCTTCCGCGGGTGCTCCACCCAACGAGATTAGGGCGTAGAGGCTGCCGCGTTCCTGGCTCAAACTTTTTGGTTGTCTGGCGCTGTACTCGGGGGCTTCATCGCGCCGGTCCCCTGCTGAAGCCCTCTCTCGTTTCCCTGACGCCTCCGGCAGCACTCTATTGTCCGTATGTCGGCCCGGCCGCACTCCCAACAGAATAGCTTCCGTGGGTTACGGTACCTTCGGGCGAAGTGTCCCTCTTGGCCACACCTCCTGCATGTGTTCCCGCTATGAAAAGTCTGAGTCGCGGCTCTCGAAGGGGGTGGGGCCTCGCGGCAGTATTATACGGTGCTCCTCGATGATGCTGATCCATGCGTGGTGGCGGTCGTTGCTGAAGTGCCTGTCTCGGTTGGGGTGACATAATGGGGTCGTCACCAACGTGTCTCGCTATTTCTGGTCGGGCGGTTTCTGGGACCCGCCGATGGCTTTCGTAGATGCTTTCATAGTCTTCGGCGAGTGTGAGGAGTTCCGTCAATGTGTTAAAATCTCACCGTTTGATATAAAGCAAGTACTCCGGGTGGCTATTTCGAAAAATCCTTCCCAGCCGTTGTTCACTTCTGTGACCCGCGTGTCGCATCGGGTTGTGAATCGCGATCACGTAGTCCTTAAACTTTTCTCGCGGGCGCTGCCTCCGTTGCCTTATGTCATCTTCCAGGCGTTCAAAATACCGGGCCGGTAGGAAAAAGTGCAGGAAATCACGTTTGAATGACGCCCAGTTGGTCCAATGCTCGTTGTTGTTGCGGTACCACTGGAGGGCAGTGCCGCTTAGCAATTCAGGCATCGTCTTTGGTAATACGTCTACATTTAATGTGTAGACGTCGGCCAGCTCCTCTAATCGTTCTGCAAACGCCAACGGGTCGCGTCCTCCATCGTACTTCACTGACCACTTGCGTACCTGGTCGATGATGCGCGCAAAAGTAACGGTAGGCACATGGTTGCCGTTGGTTAGCACATCAGCGTTTGGTGCGGTGGATGTCGTTGGCGGGTGCTGAGGTGGCGGCTGCATACTCGGTGGCGGATATGTGAACTGGCTCTGCCTTGGCGGTCTAACGGGCACATGCGGTTCTTTCACCTTGATTCACGGTTAACGGTGTCTTTGGCTCACTTTCGTTTCTCCAGTGGGCCTCCTGTTCGTTGTATGCTGCTTCCATCGCGAGAAATTTTGCACGAAGTTCCGGGTCGACGAGTCCTTTGGCGGCCCATGCCGCTATCCGTTTCCTCATCTCTCGAGTGGTGCCTGTGTGTTCGATGCGCAGTTCCTGTGTGATGGACACCAACTGTTCCTTGGATACGCTGTCCAGCCACGATATGCTCACTGGTTCTGTCATGGCTGGTTTAATTAGCGGCTTCGAAATGTCCTCTTTGTATTGTACTATTTGCAGGGTCCCTGCTCGGGCGCCAATTGTAACGAAGCGTTTTCCTGTGAAGACACGACGCTTCTGTTTTCTATGCTGAGGTATACTCGCCGTGCCCGGGGTCCGTTACAATAAATTTATATTGTGGGGCCTTTGCAAATAGTACTTTATTTAATTACTAAAAACGTGTTACTACTTAATTTCTATGAACATAATACGATAAACGGTGTATGAATTCCTAACGGTGAATTCCCAGCGCGCTGCTGCTGGGTGACGTCGACGCTACTCTGTCGGCATTCTGCTGCTGTGCGACGTCGGCGCTACTGTGTCGGCGCTCTGCTCCTATGCGACATCGGCGCTCTTGTGTCGGCGTTCTGCTTCTGCGTCACCGTTGCGCGGGCTTGCGCACGCTATTGCTTGCGAAACTATTCCGTCGGCGCTCTGCTGATGGACGGCGTCGGTGCCACTATGCCGGCGCTCTGCTACGATACGACGTTGGTGCGACGATGGTGGCGCGCTGCTGCTGTGCGACGTCGCCGCTACTATGTCGGCGCTCTGCTGCGTTGCGAGCGGGCGTCGCCGTTACACGTGTTCGCGATGGACTCTGGCGTGGCGGTGCTCTACCTTTGAACAGCCAAGCCCTGTATAGTCGCCTATGTACAAGTCAGGCGCTATTCATTAGTAGCTGTGTGTTCACGACCACGGCTCCGCAAACGACGCTTAGATTTTGGGCGACGTCGGTGTGCTCCTCTGGGCGACGTCGGCGCGGGGCTGGTAGGCGAACTGGCCTCGCCGTCGCGCGGCTTCACGGTTGACTGTGGGGTGGCGGCGCTCTATCTTTGAACAGCCAAGCCTTGTATAGTCGCCCAGGTACAAGTCGAGAGCTATTCTCTAGTAGCTATGCGTTCACGACCACAGCTCGTGCTGACTGCCTTGTGTGTTGCCAAGTCACATCTCTTATAGCTGGTGCTCTTCGTGTTGCTGGGTCGTATGGCTACATGTGGCGTTGCTATGGTGACGGTGTCACCATGGAGTGTTGATGCGGTCTCTTATGTTGGCAGGCCGTGTTGATGGCGCTGCTGTAGTTGTTGTTGTTACTGTTGTAGTCTTTGTTGCTGGTGCAGGGGGGCGGCGTTCGTGGATATTTAGTCCTCACAGTTTATTTAGTGCTCTTATAAAATATAACTCCTCAGAGCGAGATAGTTCTTTCATGGCTTTACGAGCTCTATTTTTTAAAACTTGAAGTGTGTGATCACATTATTTTTAATAAATAGAACACAAGAAAATATTTTATTTTTATTTATGCCACTCCGAATTTAGTCTCTGAATCTTCACATTTTTTGATGAGCTTTGGGAATATGTTAGAAATGAGCATCAGGGGGTCCACGGAAACCAGTAAAGTTTTGAAAGGGGTCTACGACAAAAATAACTTTGCGAACCTCTGGTCTGGACATACAACATTGCTAGTTGATAAAAGCGTTGTAAAATGTTTACGTCGCGTCGTTTGGACGAAATGGTTGAATTTATAGAAAACAGAATAAATTCGACCGCCGGGCAAGAAACATAAATGTTTATTAATTTTAATCGGCATACATACAATAAAATTTTGTATGCATACAAAGTCCACTAAATCCTCCCATAAAAAATTGTGTGCTTTTTTCGAGAAAACGCGAATTTTCTTGGGTTTTAGTGGTTTTTTAAATTCAAAACTGCTACAAGCACGCGATATATTGCGGGAGCTTGTAAGTATAGCTTTGTTTAACGCAAGAAACTAGCAGCTCCCTCTCGTTCTTACGCTCTTATTTGTTTATGGCTCTCCTGCGAATTTCTGCTGGCAAAATTCTCACTAGCAGAAACCAGCAGCTGTCAAAATGAATAAACAAAAATTCGCGCCACATATTTTCAATAGTCAAATACACCGATCGGCTGTTTACTTGCTTGTTTCTGCTAGTTTTGCCTTTCTTTACTATTTCTTTATTTCGATTTCTGTGAGCGTAATGCTCTCAATTTTCCCATTCTTCCTCTTCCTGATAATTATCTGCTAGAAGAGAAAAGAAACAAAGCCTATATTGCACCAATACTCTGCTACACATTAAGCGTAATACGCTAAAATGATAGAAGGCGATAGCGAAATTTTATTTCCAGTGTTGCCAGCTCGTGGAATTTCGCACCATAAAAGGGCGCGTGGGATTTTGCTTCTCGTTAAAGGAATACTAGCCATCTACGATTTTGTGGTTTAAAGATTGTTTTTTCATTTGCTGTTCAGTCATTGTTCTTCTTCTTCTTATTATTATTTGGCGCTGTAACCGCCAAAGCTATTTTAGCCGAGTTCAACAAAGAACGCCAGTCGTTTCTCTTCTGTGCCAACTGACGCCAATTGGAAACGTCAAGTGAAACCAAGTCCTTCTCCACCTGGTCTTTCCATCGCTGTGGGGTCATCCTTCTTCCTCTGCTACCACCAGCGGATTCCGAGTTGCATACTTTCAGACCTGGAGCATCGGCGTCCATTCGAACGAGATGTCCAAGCCAGCGGAGCCGCTGTATTTTAATTCGCTGCACTACGTCCATCTCGTTTTAAAGCTCATAGAGCTCATCGTTCCATCGTCTACGGTACTCGCCGTCGCCAACGCGTAAAGGTCCGTAAATCTTCCGCAAAATCTTTCTCTCGAATACTCCAAGAGCCGTCTCATCGGATGTTGTCAATGTCCATGCTTCTGAGCCATATACCAACACGGGCATGATGAGTGACTTATAGAGTGTGGTTTTCGTTCGTCAAGAGAGGACTTTACTCCTGAATCGCCTACTCAGTCCAAATTAGCACTTGTTGGCAAGAGTGATTCTGCGTTGGATATCCATGCTGACATTATTATCGGTGTTAATGCTGGTTTCCAAGTAAACGGAATTCTAAACTTTTTCGAAATTACAAATGTAAACAGTGGCGTGGGTGCCAAGGCGCCAATGCGCTCACTGTTTGTTTGATGACAGCGGATACTTCGTCTTGTCCTCGTTTACCACCAGACTCATTCGCTTTGCTTC